TATATATATATATATATATATATATATATAATACATCTTATTGGGCTGCAGGCTATAAATGTAATTTTTGGGTCATGTCCAGATGCCTTTTTTCACTGGGAGTCTATATGAGCATCAAAAGCGGTATTTGCATTGGAAAGACAGTTCAGAAATCCTGCTGCTCACCCTTTTGTTTTGTGTGATTCTAAATAAATGATTTCAGATTTACTCACTCATGAAACCGTGGAGTGTGATTTTGGTCTGAGTGCTTTACTGTGCACCTGCACCAGGTGTTTGAGGGCTCATCTGATGTTTCATTCACAGGAGCTTCACTCCGACGATCCAAAGGAGTATAAAGCCTACAGAATCAGCATGTTACGCAGGATGGTTGTATGTAGGATCGTGTGTGTACGAGTGTGTGTGCATGTATCAGAAAACTAACTGGCACTAGTGTGTGTTGCACAGAATCTGAGCTGCGTTGAACTCTAACTGTGTGTTTAACCCACAGCAGTGTGAATCAACAGACTTTTTAATATGTTTCTCTTTCAATAACCGGGTGAATCTCACGAAAAACTGTCACCCCAACCAAAAAAATATGCTTTGTTTTCTTTAAGCTTTTTTTTTTTTTTGATGATGAGGTGGAATGTGACTTTTCTTTGTGAGATCCCCCCATCTTTGTTACTATTTCTCTATTTTTTTCTCTCTGTTTAATGAGTTGCATGGACAGATGAAAGACAGAGCTGCTATCTTCAGATTGTTGCAGAGCTTAAAGATGCTCGGTTGACCTGCTTTGTCCCGATTCTCTAAAATAAACCCTTTATTTAAATATTTTTCACCCTTCTGCCAAAGAGACTCATTTGTCATAGTGTTGCTGTGATTGTCTGATGATGATGTCTGTCTCCGTGGTGACAGGATCTTATGGAGCAACTGGAGAAACAGGACAAGACCGTCCGCAAACTGAAGAAGCAGCTCAAAGTCTTCGCAAAGAAGATCAATGACCTGGAAGGTACGTGTCACAGGCTGTGTTTAGAGACTCTGTTCAGGAACATCTTAAATTTACATTTACGATCCTTAATGTTTATATGCATTGATGTTTGTCTGTGTATTGTAGGTGGCCAGATGGATGTGTCTCCAGGACAGACGGCCGACGAGCCTGTTCATCCAGTGAACATTCCACGCAGGGAGAAAGATTTCCAGGGAATGCTGGAATACAAGAAAGAGGATGAACTCAAACTGGTCAAAAACCTCATACTTGGTAAGACACATAGACCTGTAACTGTAAAAATAATAAATCTATTAAATGATTTAATTAGTTTGATTCCAACTTACCCAATTCCTGGTTCCGTTCATATAAGACCATACTAATAAATTTTTTTTTTAAAACAGACTGTGACTCTGGTTTGTGCATGTGTGTTTTTGTCAGAGCTAAAGCCTCGTGGAGTGGCAGTGAATCTGATACCAGGTCTGCCGGCATACATCCTCTTCATGTGTCTGCGTCATGCCGACTACATTAATGATGACCAGAAAGTCCGATCTCTACTTACCTCCGCCATCAACAGCATCAAGAAGATCCTCAAGGTCTCAATACACTCTCACAAACCATTCACGTTTAAAATGTTATAACTGAACACAACTGTGTTTTCATAACAGTCTTAAAATATCTTCCTTTCTCATTAATGTTTTGTTTTTCTACAGAAAAGAGGTGATGACTTTGAGACTGTTTCCTTCTGGTTGTCCAATACATGTCGTTTCCTGCACTGCCTGAAACAGTACAGTGGTGATGAGGTGAGATATCACACCTTAGATCAGGGGTCTCCAACTTAGGGCTGGACGATATGGCCAACATTTATATCACGATATATTTCTTAATTTCGGTCGATACGATATAATTCCGATATCGATATGAACATTATTAAAAAAAGCTTCATAAATACTGCCAAGAACACCCACAACAGATGTCTGTACCTACAAATTTATGAAAAATTTATTTGCCAAGTCTATGAAACCTCTTCCTATAAAACTATT